GTGACTAAAAAAGCGCATTTGAAATTTTTTAAACGGTCGGTAATGGACAGTTTCCGTTAGCACCATCTGTGGGCTCTCTTTCGAAGAATCTGAGTTTGTTATCAGAATTTCTATAACACGCTTTTTTTTTCTTATGGGCGCCATATTGGATTTTTACAGAATGATATAGATTCTAATTCTAACTTGACACCGAAAGTCCCTTCTAGCGAAAGTACTACACCGGTACGTTTAAGTTTTAATTGATTTATCCTTAATCGCAGTTTATGCGACGGAAAATGCGTTTAATCAGCTTTACAGTTTTTCTTTGTTTTCTGCCTGCACAGCACAATAATCCCTCCTTGGTTGTAAGTCCCAAACTAAACACGTTTAATTAATTCAATTAGAGGAGTTATCTTTTTCCACAATAAAATTTGCGCTGACTTTTTCAGTGCCCAACCAATACCCGATATAAAAACTTGATTATGCACCGAATTTTTCTAGTATTTTTATTTGTATTCTATGATGTCCACAAAAATGTTGTTTACAGCCACCAGGAATTCTTGGACTGTATGAAAAATGTCTAGTTTCCATTATTAATTTATATAGTAATTTATATTGTGAGATTTAGTACGAAGTACCTCCGCTTGTTATTATATTCTGTTTGTGACGATGTTATACAATTGTGCAATTGTCTTATACTGATTAAATTATTATTATTATTATTATTATTATTATTATTATTATTATTAAATAGCAACTTTCATTCTGATAAACCCCGGAACGATTTTTTCCGCAGTCGTCTACCTGGTTCCCCTCTGGTAAACCGAATGAATTCAAGAATCTCCCCGCATTACTCCCTACCCATTTTTTTGATAATTAATTAACGCCTTTTTCAAGATGGCGTCTAGTAATTACCTGAGCCAGTTTCCTTTAAAAGCTAATCGAAATCGCTTTACTCCCTGAAATGCCCGAATTTTAGGCTGTTACCCAAGAATCGTACTAAAACGGCTGAATTACCTACATCCTTAGAGACGTACGCGACGACCTCACAACTCCATAATTTTGATACAAAAAAATCTCATTAAGGTAAGATTAGTTTTTTTTTCAGAAACTACGCAGTTTAGAAAACATGTACAGGAAACTCTGTCGCTGACAATTATTAATAAGCGACAAAAAGCGAGTTTATGATTTTGGACTTTCTGTCCGTCCGTCCGTCCGTCTGTGTGCATGATAACTTACGAACTGTTTCGAAATTTCCAGTTCTGTTTTCAGTAATAGGTAGATAATAGTCAAATGACTAAGTGATTCAATCTTGGTCAATACTCGTCAACCGGAAGTAACATTGTCGCTTCTTGTCTATTGTGGTGCAGTTTATTTTCTGTTTACTTTCCCACACACACACAAAACACGTTTGGGTTCGTTTAATTGTAACTACTGTCGGACTAAAAAGTATGTGCGGTCGAGTTTGAAACTAATCCCTTGGGCCAATTTTAATGAACCAAATTAAAGCTTGTTTAATTCTAAGTTATTTAATCCTCACAAATATTGGTTTTTAAGTAACATTTAAGTATGATTTCAGTGCGAAAACCCTTCATAGTGACCATTTTTTGAGGTTTGCCGCGCCACCGCAAAGTTTAAACTCCCTTGAAAATAAAATTACCTTTCAAATTTTAGTAAGTTATAGATTGAACAGTTCTTAATACGTGAAAGAAACCTATTAAAGAAATTTGATTTTTAACATCTAAGTAACAATACAAAACAACTACAAAATTAATAGTTATTTATTATACAAGACGATAAAGGGATATGTTAACCATTGAAAATTAACCACGAGACGGTTAGTTTTTCTTTATAGTCATACAAAACTTTAGCAGGAGCCATATAAATCATTGTAACGCTTCTGACAATTCTGAATTTAATTTAGAGACGTCAAAAATATTCAACGTTTTTCTCCCGAAGGGTAAAAAACGAATTATTTTAGGTCTTGCCTAGGCTTGACCCTTGTGAGATTACCCCAATCATCCCCGCCCTTTCATAAGTGTCTTTTACGTAACTAAGCTCCCTTTTTTACTCCCCCCGTCGTCAGACAGCCGCGCCGCCGCAACGACCTCGCCACCCGAAGCGGCTGTATTCCGAGTCAGTACTTTCTCAGAAATTAAGTCGTCAAGAACTTAATGGGGGTCAAGCCTAGGCAAGACCTAAAATAATTCGTTTTTTACCCTTCGGGGGAAAAACGTTGAATATTTTAGGGTCTGTGCCGTCGGCTTGACCCTTGTGAGAAGTGTTTGGTTTCTGACGACTAGATAGCGTACTGTGAAATCACTTCGTAGATAATAAGAACCATGAGTTCCAGAAAAAATATAGTATTTATTAACGGAAACGTAAAAAGAAAGAACATTCTCCTAAAAGTAGGTAACAAAAGTGGTCGCTCTAATCAAAACATAATGCTAGCAAAGAGCAAAGGATTTAAAATCCATTTAACGAAAACAAAATCTTAATAAAACTAATCTCTATGAGTCTTCTAAATCAGACTAACATCACATAGGAACAAAAGTATTAGATATGAGATCAGTATTACAGGTCAGGTCATTTCTTTGAACTTCTTTGAAATAAAACTTGAAAAAGTTATCTTTTGTCTTCCAATTGCCACAACCAAGAATGCTGTCCAGCGGCATATTTTTTTCCCATCTTGCAGATGCTACTGCTGATCGTATACTTCCGGGTGAGTGCTGGATTCCAGCTGCCTCAAAAGCTGTTCTGACCCAACCAGCTATTATATAGCCCTGGAAGCAGGTCTAACTTGTCCTCTAGTTGTAATAAAGAGGTTGTGAAGATCATCTCGTGCATTTCGACGATCTCTACTCAATTCTATCAGCTTCAAAGTCCAAAAAATTGGGTCCAAAGCTTTCTCATCATTCCTTAGCAGTTTCCAACCAGACTGTCTAGAGGAAACCTTATCGGTTTTCGAACCCCACTGTGGCCAAAAGCAGATAGAACCATCCTCTTTAGAAAAGTGTTTCTCATCTATCCTCAACAAAGTAAGATCATGGATACGACGACCTGATGCAAGAAGCAAGATAAGAGCTAGACTTCTGGAGACTTGGAACAAACTCGATTGTTCGACCTTCTCCTTCCTTAGCCAGGAAATTATGGTGCTAACACTCCAAATAACTGGCCTGCCCTGGTCTACCCTTTCCATCCCGATTGCTCTAATCATATGTTTTACCACCGGACTACTTGACAAGTGGTAGACGTCCAAGGGATCACTGATCAGGGTAGACACTACTGACTTATGGAGTTTAATCGTGGCCGAGGATAACTTTTTCACCCGTGAAAGAAATGATATGTACTGTGCCAAAATAGCAGGTGAAGGTTTATTTGGGATCAAATTTCCTCTCTTGCACCAAGCAAGCCACTGGTTCCATGGAGCAGAATAAGTTTTTAGAGTAGACTTCCTCCAAGAATTCTCTAGAAGGGCTATGTCTGCCTGCTCCCAACCTTTAACGACGCTGGACCACCCTGTACCTTCCAGGCCTCCAAACTTATCTTCTGAGCATTTGGTAACGGTTTCCCCGTGAGTGCATCCAACAGGTGGTGTTGCAGGTTCCGAATCCGAAAAGGAGGGGCCATTGATCTCGCCTTTATGTCCGGCCCCCAGAAGACCTTCTCCCATCTCGGTACTATTAGGATATAAGTTCCCTTGGCTGTGTTGAGATGGTTGAGTACTCTTGGGACTAACGCCGGTGGAGGAAAAACCCATGCTAACCGAAAGTTCCAGGTTCTGCTGAACGCGTCTATGAACTCCGCCTGCTGGTCTTTCATGTCCCTCGAGACGTACCTGCTCGTCACCTTTGATATGTTTGAGGCAAATAGGTCTATTTGGGGTTCTCCCCACTTCGAGAATATTAACTGAACGATATTCTCTGAAAGCGTCCAATCCGCCAATCTTTTCCTTCTGGACAAACTGTCCGCCATGTCGTTCAGCACTCCTGGGATGAAGTGCGCTACTAAGGTCATTCTGTTTCTCCTCGCAAAACGTAACAGGCGACCCACGATCTTCGTCATCAGAAGAGACTTCGTTCCCCCCTGATTCCTTATGTAAGACACCACTGACCGATTGTCTGATTGGATAAGTATTGATCGACCCGTCAAGACTCTGGCACAACGGAGGATTGCAGAGTAAACGGCAAAGAGCTCTTTTACATTTATATGCCAGCTTAATTGGGACTGGCTCCAGCAACCCTTTATCATCTGGTCTCCCACCTGGGCACCCCAACCCAGATCTGACGCGTCCGTAGTTATGAAAATGCTTGGGCCTTTCTGAAACAAAGGAGAAGCCCTTCGCAGATTCGTCAACCACCATTTCATTTCTTTTACTGCAGAAGGATGAATGCAGAGGAACTTCGTAGGTCTTCTTTCTGGATGGCGATGACTGTATCTCTGCATGTACCTCATGTGTAATCTTCCGAGCGGAATCGCAAATGATGCGAAATTCAGCTTTCCTAGAATTCGTTTGGCAGCTTCCCAGCTCCAAACATTCCTTCTTATTAGATCCGAGAGATCTTTCTTTATCGACGACCTCTTGCGTCTCGGTAATGATACCTGATCCATTTTCGTGTCCCAGATTAAACCTAGGTACTCGCACCTCTTTCTTGGACGCAGGGAGGATTTCTCCCAGTTGATTAACCAGCCCAAACTTTCTAAAAAGGAAATCGCTATTCTGGTGTGATGTTCCAACTCTTCGGAGTTCTGATGGGCTAGCAGGAAGTCGTCCAGGTAAACAATCAATCTTATGCCTCTCTCCCGAAGACGACCCGCTATCCAATTCGATAGGCGAGCAAACGCGAGAGGAGCTGTTGCTAATCCAAATGGGAGGCATGTCATCTGTAGAACTTCCTGGTCGTGAACTATTGACAGAAACCTTCGATGCGATTGTTTTATTGGGATGTGAAAGTATGCCTGCGTTAGGTCCACCTTTACCAAAAAGTCGTCTCCTTGTAAAAAGGTTGGGACCTTCAGATGGTTTAAGAGGCGAAATTTTCATGGTAGCAGGTGTGCGTTGAGACGTTTCAGGTTCAGAACTGGTCTCAGAGTTCCGTCGCTTTTTGGAACGGCAAACATCCGTGATAGGAAGCCCGTTGTATGTGCTGATGGCTGTAGTATTCCCTGCTGCCTCATGATTTCTATCTCTTGGGACAAGCCGTGGGAAGCAAAATGATATAAATGCTTGCCTGAGAATCTTATTAGGGGAGGTCGCTTCACGAAAGGAATTGAATATCCCAATACTGTTTTTAAAATAGCGTCGGGTGCTCTTGCCGAAATCCAGGAATTTACGAACTTTTGCAAGCGACCTCCTTTGAACCCCGAACTGATGGCGTCATTTCTTCCTTTGTCTTTTTTGTCAACACCGCCCTCTCTGGGTTTATAAGAGCCAGATGAAGGTTGATTTCTTGATGAACGGGACTCTGACGGACGCTTCCAGGTATTCCTCGAAGGCCATGGTTTACTCTGTGCCCTGCCTCCTGTATTTGAATTGCTGCTGAAAGGAGGCTTTGCACCTTTGTAGGCATGCGGTGCCGCATACCCGGACCGAGCTGGCGCCCGAAAAAAATGACCATGCTGCTTTGCCAGCTCCGTAAAAGCGACTTCCTCGAATAAATGCGTAGACGACGGAGGAATCGCGTTAAACATAGGAGTTATAGATTCGGATTTTGGCCTGAAAGCTTTTCTTCTCAAATCAATAATCTCCGCTCTCCTGCCACAAGTGTACTGGAGAAGGTCATCACTAATGGATCTAAATTCAGAATGACCGTCTACAAATATACTTCGAGCTTCTGATGCAATGGAAGGATATTTGGATATTAAGTTCTTCAGCGCCTCTGCAAAGGCCTCCCTTTGTAGTAGCAGGCCATGCGTAATCGAACCTAAAGTGGAGTCCGACCTTGCCAAGTGATTATCGTTTGTAGATGAAATCCCTAGAAGCTGAGGATTAACTTTCAAGGCGCTAAACACTGGGTAGGCCTGAAACTTCTTTTGCACCTCTGCGTATCTTATCTTGTTGAAGGAGGTACTCTCTAACCGCTGGCACTGAATACCCTGTTTTTCAATAGTCGGCTTTGGTGCCGGAACTAAAGGCTCCTGCTCCTTAGTTTGTGGCGTAAAATCCCATTCCATAGGAGGCGCATCCGCGATGGATGGAGCCTTCCACGAAACCTCATCCTCCTCCTCCTCTGAGAAGGGTTGTAGATTCTCCTTCCCATCATCAGAGAGACTATAGGAGCTAGAGGGTCTGGTATCATTGAGCCTGTCAAGAACCGATGCCAGCATATTTTTCAGATCTTCATTACTCTTTTCTAAGGCATCTAGCCTGGATTTCTTACTCGCCTTCGAACTTACTGAAGGGCGGGTATTGATACTTTCTGCGTCAGAGTCTGCTTCAAGCTGACGAGAAGCCTCCAGCCTGGAAATCAACAACGGCTTAAGATCGGTTAAAGCAGCTAATGCTAGTTCGTTCTGAGCTAATGAACCACGAATTTTAGCAGCCAAAGAAGAAGGGCCTATAATGAGGCCGATGCAGAAGGGCCAGTCCAACATCTTCACCTTAATTTCCCTGTATTTCTTTTCAGAGATAGATATAGCCTCAGGGTTGAACGCCTGGATAAGACCCACGGTGGGTAGGGCGTACCGGATTTTATTTAGAATCTGAGAATCCATTTCACCATTAAGGAGCTCTTTCTTTAGAAGATTATTAACTTTCCATTTCTTCCAGCCCTCTGGTAGATGAGCTACTGCCAGCTCTTTAATTCTGGAGAGAATGATATTCTCGTCCTCATCATCTAACTCCAGCCGAGCTAAATCTTCTAAAGTGTGCAAATTAGACTGTGTAACCATCTGAAACGAAAAGAACCTGCGTTAGCAAATTCAAAAGGTTCGTCCTTGGTATTGAGCCGCCAACTGCAAAATCTCAGTCGACGGTTCATACCTCGAGCCAGAGGCTCCTGGGCTGAGGAAAAAACGACTCCTCAGCCCGAGACAAAGGCTCACCAATCTGAGCCGACGGTCCGAAAGCCGGAGCCGGCGGCTCGTCAGCCCGCCGTCTCGCCAGCCTGAGCCGACGTCTGACCAATTTGGGCCGACGACGGCTGACCAGTTTGAGCCGACGGCTCCCAGGAAAGAGCCGCTCGCAGCTTTCCTACTGGTCTTTATTACTTATATTATTCCAAAATAGGTTGAAAACGCTAGTTTTGAAATATTTTTCTCACCTTAGAAAAACACTAACACAACGATTCACTAAGTTTTAACTCGAACGGCAACGCCGTTAAAACGTACTTCACAAAGACACCTACTCGAGCGAAGTTGATAGCGTACTGACTCGGAATACAGCCGCTTCGGGTGGCGAGGTCGTTGCGGCGGCGCGGCTGCCTGACGTCGGGGGGAGTAAAAAAGGGAGCTTAGTTACGTAAAAGACACTTATGAAAGGGCGGGGATGATTGGGGTAATCTCACAAGGGTCAAGCCGACGGCACAGACCCTAAAATAGCGAGCTTAGGATCTGCCGTCTCGATCGTTTCCATAGAAACAGAATTTTCATATGTTCTGAACGTCATTTTATATCGTGCACTTGAAATAAGAATGACAGATGTCATTAGAATGCACAATCATTTGTTTCACTTTATCTACCCTTACGGTTAAAGTGATCACTTTATCTATCCTTAGAAAGGCTTAGCCTACTCATTAAAATGTCAATTTAACATATGATATAAACGTATATAAAAGTAGCATATGTAATTAACGAGTCTCTATTCTATACGCGTGCGATACAATGAGCTAAATAATTATTCCAATTAGAACTGTTAATAGTATGGGTATGAAAAAATATGCACAGCAACTAATGTAACTATTAATCAATTATTAAATGCCTAAAAATTTCTCTAGAGCCCCTTTTCGAGATTCATATGTCTGATGTCTATTCGAGCTCCATCAAGTCCCGCAATTAAAAAAAATGTGTAATGAAAATTTTTAAATAGTGCTAGGGTTGTGCTAAATTGTGCTGATTTAGTTTTCATTTGTGTGCTGCTTCGGAAAATTTAAATAGTTTTGTTCGTATTGAGCCCAAACCACAATTGGTTAATGTTCTACATCGAGCACAATCATTTAGCATTATTTTTGCTACCATATCTTAAAAACGCCCGGTAGCTGAGAGTCTAATTGGCTCCAGAGGCATGTGAGAACAGAAACTATCATGAAAGAGTATTTTAATGGCACAATCCAATATGCATCTAGTGGTGGTTATCATTAATGCTGATTCCATATCTGTAAAGCATCAAGTTGGGTGCAGGAGCTAATGGGGTATTGTACATTGACATATAGAAATGGACTGCGCGTACCAATGCTAAGGGCGAATACTGCAGGTGAGAGAGAAGGGAATACCTTTACGGTTACGCATCTTATTGGTTCTTTTAATTTAATTCGAATGCAATCAACAGAAGCACCCTTCTCTCTCTCCTGCAGTATCCGCGCTTCGCATCGGCACGCGCAGTCCATTACTAAACAGGCCGATTCTAGGGCTGATTCAAATTCGAGGGCCCTGTGGGGATCTCGGGAACTGTAAGAGATATGTAGGTAGTTTAAATTTGGCAAAGTTGCGTATTTTGATGCTCAACAAAAACTAAAAAACTTCCGACTACTTTCGGAGATATCGGGAAAAAACGAAATTTTGCAAAATCGTTTATATTTTTTACTGAAGTTGTTACAGTTCAAATTTCAATTTCCTATAGCATTTTAGTACCTGGCTTTATACAAAATTTGTTAGATGTCGTTTAAGGTTTTAAAGTAAAATTTAAGGCGATAAATGATAACGCCGATCGCTATTGACATTATTTGACAGAGAATTGTTTTCTGATTTCAAAAATTAAAAAAAAATTATTCAAAATAAATAACATATTATTATGGCCACTTTTTCCCTCTACCAGATGCTAGTTTTAAATTATCCGACGTTTCGTCTCCGGTTAACCATCATCAACTTTATTTCATATGGAAGCCATTTTTACTTTTTGTTTTATTTGACAGAGAATTGTTTTCTGATTTCAAAAATGCATAAACATCATAGTTTTTTAATATTGTCCAAATATCTTCTTTTTTGCCTAGAAAACTTTGTCTTGGGTAGTAGCACTAGTTCTTATTAAAAGATAGTGATGTTTTGGAAATCAGAAAATAATTCTCCATCAAATGACATAAAAAGTAAAAATTACCTACTTCCATACGAAAAAACAAAGCTGATGGTGGTTGACTGGAGACGAAGCGTCAAACTGAAAATTTAAAAGTAGCATCTTGTAGAGGGACAAAAGTTGTCATAATAATGTGTCATTTATTTAGAAATCTTCGCCCTCATTAATCAAACTTCAAATTCATGAAAAAAAAGGCACTTTCAACACGTGCCGTACACGAAAATTTTTTGCATAGTGATCCTTAATGCCCATAATTGCATAATATCATTGGCATTCGTCATTTTCTGTCACTCAACAGTTGAGCTATTCGTCATAGACAGGACGAAACGCCATGGAAACGTATAGTAAAACTCGTTAAAAAAAAGTACTACTTTCCATACGATTTTTCGTGAAAAAAAGTCCGGTAATTTGATAACAATGCAAAAACAGAATTTACTATAAATGCTCATATGTAATGAAGTAAGTATAAACAATGAATTAGGTAAAAAATGTAAAAGAAAAATTTGTTATTACAAAGTGAAAACGAATAAATATATAATAGCGCTCCATTACTTTAATGTTCGGGTGCTAAAATCGTATTCAGTATCTTTTTTTAGGGAAATGCGCAAACGAAAAATCGAGATGTGCCTACATGTGCAAACAAATTGCAAACGAATGAAGTATATAGTGTTCAATTGTTTTAATGTTGGGGTATAGTTGCCCCCTCCTCCCAAACTTGTTTTTTCAATATCATTTTTTAGAGAAATGCGCAAAAGAACAATCGAAGTGTGCCTAAATGTGCAATCGAAGTACAAACAAAGAAAGTATTTGACGTTTCATCATTTGAATGTGGGGGGGGGGGGCTAACTTCATGCGGGTATAATAATGATATATGACCAAAGTATGCAAATTACAATCTTATGGCAGAGCGATTTCAGTTTCTTAGTAACTCATATTTGTGCATTAATCCCACGAAACAGCTTTGCTCAAATATCCAGTTGGATGCGATTCGGTAACATCGATACGGAACACGAAAGAACAAAAAAGGATAAATTGGCCCCAAAACGTGACGTGTTTGAAAAGTTTGCTCAACATTGCCTTAAATTGTGCCATCTAAATTATCACCCTACTGGGGACGAACAGATTGGACCATTTCGTGGCAGGTGCCCCTTCATATGAAGAGTAAGAAGATTGCCACTGAATGACAAATTGACCCGAAATGTGCAAAAATGAAGACGACACAAAGTCGCTATAAATCATAGGGCCAGTTGCTTGAACTTCTAGTTGAAGACTTCAAAAACGGCCAACGGCGTATGGGGTTGTTTCATTACGCACAAATCGGTATCCGAGCATGCATTTGCCGTCGGCACTTTACTTTTTATATTCTTCTACCCAACCATCTTTTCTGAAAACATAAGGGGGGCGTAGATTACGAAATATGTAAATGAAAAGTTGGAAATGCGTTCGGTAACAGATGAGAAATGTAGTGGTGCTACCCATTCAAATATTTGTCAAAGCGAATACTTTTTTTAACCCGTTACATTTAGTACGTTAATATGAAAATTATACGGTTATATTTAAAATAGATTCGTTTGTTAGGTAACATCTTCGCTTCTCTTAAATAAATATGTCAAGAATGCATTTACGTGGCCGTGTTTTGAGTTGTAAAGAAAAATTTTAAAAAAAGTGATCGTAAACATGCGTATTAGCAACTGTATTTTATGACAAAACTACTGATATTGCATACAATTTGTGTCAACAATATTTTGTAACCGGTTTCAAGCTGAAGATTTACCAGTTTATGGTATAATTTCTATACTTTATATCAGGCACTTATCGTTTATTACAGATTATAATTGAGTTACCTACTCCTCGTGCGCCTACCCCAAATCGCCAACGCATTCCATAGGTTTACTTACTTATCTGCTAATTTGAAGTCTTTTTAATTGTCCGGCGCAATAAATGTTGTCAATTTTGTCTAAAATTAATGGACGCCTAATGAAAATTTGCGACGACTTCTCAGGCATACCTAGGCAAGGAGATAATTTGCGTAAACATGGTTGTAACATAGACCCTTGACACATTAAGTAATGATAAAATCAATGTTTCAATTTATTCGCTATTTGTTTAAGTTGGAGATTTATGTTGTTTGGGCGATACGCGGACATTTGTCAATCCGCTGATTAAAGTTCAGATTATTGGAGATAAACAAATACGCTTCGTGATTTTGATAGACGTTATCACTGCGATCTCTATCGTGCAATTAAACATATCCTAACGTCTTAGTAAGGTATAATGCAAGTGATTTTCACATTTTCAACAGTTACACGAAAGGAATTTGCCTCTTTGAGAATAATTACAAAATGCCGACTGTTATTCAATTGTGTTTACATTTTTTTTACTTTTTTTTAGTTGGTAAGGTTTGCAACATAATATTCTACAAAGAGAAAGCCTGTACTTACCCACTGTAGACTATTCGGTAGTATTGCTAGGCAAATAACGATTTTTATGAAAGTGAATCTCAATTTTAAAACGAATCCAAATTGATATGGATAGAAAAAAAACTTGAAAAGATGAAGATACAGTTGAAAATATAATCAAAATTCTTTTCATAATTTCCCAAAATATTTATCACAAGTGCCTTTCGTATTGGCACCTTTTTCTCAAATTAAATTCCTCGGACTCACAATTAGTCAAAACAAGAGACCTATTTAATAAAAATATTTTCCATTTATCTCATTTTCCCTTCAGTTTGGGGAAAATTCCCTTGTATCGTTTCAACTTCGTATAATTTCGTATGGTATTTTTAACTGTTATTGTACAATGCTTAATTATAATAAAATAGAGAAGCAATAAATTCCACGGTTTATAAACGACAACTTGTACCAGTTGTTAAAAAAGTCTCCGACTCAATAATAATTTACCACACTTTGCATGGTAATGTGAATTGCACATAATTATTGCATGTAATTTCTTTCTTCGGTCGTAATCCGCCTTGTACGGATATACTTAGGTAGTGAAAATGTGATTAAGGGTAATCGTTTTATATATCATATTTAAGTGTTTAGATATACTGTAATTCACACGCATAAATGCTCCTTTCACGGACTGAGACTAAAA